CCATATTTTCTGCCAAAGTTTACTCTTGTCCACATGCCAGTGACAACCAAGATAAGCACAATGAAATCAAATGTATTTAGGTAGTTAGATTTAATTACATGATGAAAAATGAATTCACCAGGCTTTCTTTCAGGAAGAACAAGTTATTTAGAAAACTTTCTTGGCAAGTACTTGGGATATGAGCTGAGGCCTCTAGGGGCTTGATATGAACACCAAGGCTCTGTAGGGGGCAGACAGGAATGTGTTTATTGCCCCTGAGCTGAGGAGAGATAGGGAGGTTGAAGCCCAGGAGGTGGGAGAGGACCAGAAAGATCAATTGGGAGGGGCTTATAAACCACGATGTGGCTATTCCCAGCACTCTCTCAAAATTTAAAGTATATCAAAAAGGTTTATAAGATTTACATTAGTGGAGATTTTGAGTCATGCAATGAAAGCAGAATTTTGTATCCAGGTTGGTAGGAGAGAAAAAGAAAATTCAGGGAGGCACAAAGAAGCAAGTGGGAGTGAACCTCAGGAACACACAGATTTCTGGGAAATCCCAGGGAGGGCTTCAGCTTGCTTACCCCAAGCCATGAAATTGGGGTCTAAGCCAAGTTGAAAGATCTCTTAGGAATTGAGTGGCTGCATAATTTGTCAGAAAATCAGGACACTTTTGAGAGTTAAAGGGCACGTTTGAAATAATCATTGAAGGACAACAGGCATACACTGGGGAAAATGGCCATTCTCCCTAGAAAGGCCTTTGATATTTTGGGTTCCTAGGAAAAAGGAGAGAAAAGGTTTGTGGAGGCGATTTAGAAGGTTTCTCCTAGACCAGGCTCAGGCTGGTAGGGATACAGATGAAGTGAAAGCAATTTGACAGCAGCTGGAGAAGCGCAGGAAATGAATCACAGATGTCTCCACTTCTGTGAGAAGATTAATTTTCATGTGCCTAGGTAAAAGATGATAGCAAATTAAGTTTTGATAGGAGTTAAAAGATACCCAGGTAAATTACCAACACTGATAAAGAAAAAAAGGATAAAAGAAAGATGGAAGAAAGGGAAGAAGAGAGTAGGAAAATAAGGAAGAAAGGAAAAAAGAAATGAAGGCAGGAAGGCAGGAAGGGAAGGAGGAAGGGAGGGAGGGAGGAAGGAAAGAAGGAAGGAAGGAAGGAAGGAAGGAAGGAAGGAAGGAAGGAAGGAAGGAAGGAAGGAAGTTTGTTCCTGGCTGTTTTTCTGGGTAAACTGACTGTAGAATTCAAAACTTTGCTTTGAGTGATGCATCACAGAACTAAGACATGGCTGTCAAACAACTGCTCAACTAAATGGCAGGCAGTGTGGTAATGTAAAAAGAGATGAGGCTTTGAAATCAGGGAAACCTACGCTGCAATCCCATGGAAACAAGACGGTAGTAAAACAGAGTTGGCTGCATGGAAGAAGAGTTTCTCAAGGAGAGTCACAGTTTCCAAAAACACCCTCTCCTTTTGCTTTCTACCACAAATCCATTTTTTAAAAACCCTGTCTATTGTTGCATCATGTAAAGACAGTCAAACAATATCACAAAATTTTCAGGATTTCTTTGCAATGGGTTTCTTTCCACTGTAAGCTTTATGGCACACATAGATTTCAGTGTAGGGGTTACAGAGGTTTCTAAGAAGTAGACAATTATTCTCCAAGTAGCTGAAACTGAAGTTCAAGGGAAGATCCTGTGATCTCTTGGCAGGAGAGATGGCACAGATATTGAAGATGCTATATATAGAAAATCATCACCAATAACATCAAAAAGCCCAAAGCATTCAAGCAGGAAAGCCATATCAAATGTCACAAGAGAGAATGTTCCAGGCTTGAGAGGTTGATTTGCAATTGGACTTCTCACACAGGCAACTTGATGGAGCACTTTCCTGGGGTATGTTTATCTGGACCAACACAGGGAAGGCTCCTGGTCTAAGTTAGATCACACGTGCAGAGGCCTTGCAATGTACATATGAGGGGGAGGTGGGGAACCACGGGATGGGTAAATCAAGTGAAGACAGGGCCAATGGCCACAGTGGGTCACTACCGAGCAGGGTAACCACTTGTTGAAGCCACCAGACTTGAGCAATAGTGGTATATATGTGTCAGAGCTAAAACTGCCTTTCAAGTCCTTTCCTAGGTCTTGTCAAAGCTGGTGTTTATTGCTCCTGAGCTGAGGAGAGATAGGGAGGTTGAAGCCCAGGAGGTGGGAGAGGACCAGAAAGATCAATTGGGAGGGGCTTATAAACCACGATGTGGCTATTCCCAGCACTCTCTCAAAATTTAAAGTATATCAAAAAGGTTTATAAGATTTACATTAGTGGAGATTTTGAGTCATGCAATGAAAGCAGAATTTTGTATCCAGGTTGGTAGGAGAGAAAAAGAAAATTCAGGGAGGCACAAAGAAGCAAGTGGGAGTGAACCTCAGGAACACACAGATTTCTGGGAAATCCCAGGGAGGGCTTCAGCTTGCTTACCCCAAGCCATGAAATTGGGGTCTAAGCCAAGTTGAAAGATCTCTTAGGAATTGAGTGGCTGCATAATTTGTCAGAAAATCAGGACACTTTTGAGAGTTAAAGGGCACGTTTGAAATAATCATTGAAGGACAACAGGCATACACTGGGGAAAATGGCCATTCTCCCTAGAAAGGCCTTTGATATTTTGGGTTCCTAGGAAAAAGGAGAGAAAAGGTTTGTGGAGGCGATTTAGAAGGTTTCTCCTAGACCAGGCTCAGGCTGGTAGGGATACAGATGAAGTGAAAGCAATTTGACAGCAGCTGGAGAAGCGCAGGAAATGAATCACAGATGTCTCCACTTCTGTGAGAAGATTAATTTTCATGTGCCTAGGTAAAAGATGATAGCAAATTAAGTTTTGATAGGAGTTAAAAGATACCCAGGTAAATTACCAACACTGATAAAGAAAAAAAGGATAAAAGAAAGATGGAAGAAAGGGAAGAAGAGAGTAGGAAAATAAGGAAGAAAGGAAAAAAGAAATGAAGGCAGGAAGGCAGGAAGGGAAGGAGGAAGGGAGGGAGGGAGGAAGGAAAGAAGGAAGGAAGGAAGGAAGGAAGGAAGGAAGGAAGGAAGGAAGGAAGGAAGGAAGGAAAGAAAGGAAGGAAGGAATGTTAGTTTGAGGCTATTTGTTCCTGGCTGTTTTTCTGGGTAAACTGACTGTAGAATTCAAAACTTTGCTTTGAGTGATGCATCACAGAACTAAGACATGGCTGTCAAACAACTGCTCAACTAAATGGCAGGCAGTGTGGTAATGTAAAAAGAGATGAGGCTTTGAAATCAGGGAAACCTACGCTGCAATCCCATGGAAACAAGACGGTAGTAAAACAGAGTTGGCTGCATGGAAGAAGAGTTTCTCAAGGAGAGTCACAGTTTCCAAAAACACCCTCTCCTTTTGCTTTCTACCACAAATCCATTTTTTAAAAACCCTGTCTATTGTTGCATCATGTAAAGACAGTCAAACAATATCACAAAATTTTCAGGATTTCTTTGCAATGGGTTTCTTTCCACTGTAAGCTTTATGGCACACATAGATTTCAGTGTAGGGGTTACAGAGGTTTCTAAGAAGTAGACAATTATTCTCCAAGTAGCTGAAACTGAAGTTCAAGGGAAGATCCTGTGATCTCTTGGCAGGAGAGATGGCACAGATATTGAAGATGCTATATATAGAAAATCATCACCAATAACATCAAAAAGCCCAAAGCATTCAAGCAGGAAAGCCATATCAAATGTCACAAGAGAGAATGTTCCAGGCTTGAGAGGTTGATTTGCAATTGGACTTCTCACACAGGCAACTTGATGGAGCACTTTCCTGGGGTATGTTTATCTGGACCAACACAGGGAAGGCTCCTGGTCTAAGTTAGATCACACGTGCAGAGGCCTTGCAATGTACATATGAGGGGGAGGTGGGGAACCACGGGATGGGTAAATCAAGTGAAGACAGGGCCAATGGCCACAGTGGGTCACTACCGAGCAGGGTAACCACTTGTTGAAGCCACCAGACTTGAGCAACAGTGGTATATATGTGTCAGAGCTAAAACTGCCTTTCAAGTCCTTTCCTAGGTCTTGTCAAAGCTGGAAGCTCTATCATTTCAGATCTGCAAGCAGTTTTCTGCTAAAAACTACCCCTTTGGAAACATAGTACTCTATTTTCTTGTCTGAGAAAAATTACCTGGATGGGCCCTTTGGTGGTGCACATAGAAAAAACCAGCATTGTCCAGGGTCCTTGGGGAAAACCTATAAGGAGCCATGAAACCGAATACACATTTTTAGAAGAAGTTTGGTAACTTAAAATGGAATGTTTGACTGAGCCATAGCTCTGTTTTCATTGTCAATATTTTGTGGTGGAACAGAAGTGGCTTTTTTTTTTTTTTTTTCCACTGAGATTCCATTTGCCCTGTGCCTGTGAACCTGGGCTGGTCCTTGGTGGTATTAGTGTGTTTCTGTTATAATGTATAAGCAGAAGATGGCTGGTGAATACTCCTGTCATCTTGAAAAGGCATGGTGAAAAACAGAAAGTAGACCATCCTGGGTGAAGACCACCCTAAACCATTGTGTTGATAATCTATGGGCAGAGTTCTTGAACATTTAGTGGCTCAGCTTGGAGAACTGCCTGGATGTCACACAACTACATTCTGATCACCTATTTAGCGTTATGTGTGTATGTGTGGGTGGTGGGTGTGGGCGATGGGGAAGGAGATGTGTTTTCTTGAAGACAATGGAATTCCCCATTGTCTATCATTCAGGATTGAGGTCAATACTAGGACAGAGATAGAAAGCGGTCTTAAACATGATGCAGGAAGCACAGTTTCTGCCCTCTGCATCCCATGGTGAGTAGGCATGGACTCTGGGACTAAGATATGCTTGAGATTATTGCCTAGAGAGAGAAGCTGCTCTCCCTGCATGGAGAAGTTTAGAATGCACACAGTCAGGCAGCTCTGTGAAGACCTCATGAGGAAGTAGAGGTCTAGGCCTAGGGTGGGGGTGTTCTAAACAGACTCACCGTTAGTTGCAAAAATCGATAGATTCTTGTTTCCTTTCATTTACAGCCCCAGGTACAGTCAAATATTCCTAAAAAAAAAAACAAAAAAAACAAAAAAAACGAAAAAAAACACAACTCAACCAAGCAACATCAACAACAAAGTTCTAACTTTATGTAGAGGAGGCTTTGAAGGGAAGGGAGGGAAGGGAGGGCAACTCCCCAAACCTGACCCCCGAGTTCAGTCTCGTGGGATGAGCACCCACCTGAGGAGGGTGAGCAGAGGTCTCAGCAGAGTGCAAGAGAAAGGAGGACAGGGCAGGAGCCACACAGAAGCCAGAGAAGGTTTAGGGCATCGCCACTCTCGACACACTAAGGAAGAGAGAGAAACTGGCAAGCGTGGGGAGCTACAGCAGCCGAGCAGGTGAGGTGTTGTCATTCACATCCAAACTCTAGCTCGGTGACCTCATTTGGACTTCTAAGTTGCTGCAGTTAATGCAATATACAAATTACAGCAACAACCATTGTGATGATGTAAAATAATGATATGATAACAGTAATACCATGATTGCCGTCTTTCAAACAAAAAACAAAAGACGTACTGCTCATAAAATCTTGAACAATTGTAAAATGCTTTTCTCACTCTTCCCCTCCTATCTTTCTGAGCTGACTGTTCCCTATAAATGAGTCATTTCAATAGGAATGTTAATGTATTTGACATGTGTCAACATCACCCTGAAAAAAAGAAGATGTTGGATTGTTTTACTGGCACACACAGTGCAAACAGAACTGACAGTGTGTGTTTGTCTGGGCCTTACACTTATGAGGCATATACAAATCTAGCATCTCATGGAATCCTTCTGTCAGCCCAGGAATCCCCTCACCACCTACGTTCCCGCTGTCTCTCCTTCGAGTTAAAAATGTGCTCTTCATAGACTTGGTGTTCTTTCTTCAGAAACATTGATGGAGACTTTACCGTATGCACTAGGTATTGACAATATGAGAATAAAGTATCTACCACAACATGTGAAGATAGTAATATAGAGACAACACACGCTAATGCACTTGAAAATGTACTCTGCTTGGCTGGGTGCGGTGGCTCACGCCTGTAGTCCCAGCACTTTGGGAGGCCAAGACGGGTGGACCATGAGGTCAGGGGTTCAAGACCAGCCTGGCCAAGATAGTGAAATCATGTCTCTACTAAAAATACAAAAATTAGCCAGGCGTGGTAGTGGGCTCCTGTAATCTCAGCCACTCGGGGGCTGAGGCAGGAGAATTGCTTGAACTCGGGAGGTGGAGGTTGCAGTGAGCTAAGATCATGCCATTGCACTCCAGCCTGGGCCACAGAGTGAGACTCCATCTCAAAAAAAAAAAAAAAAAGAAATATACTTTGCTCTTAGGTAACTTTGCTTTTAGGTAACAAGTATAAAATTTACATATAATGGCATTGGTCACATATGTGTGCTGGCTGTATACTGACTATTTTTAGACCTATTTCTTGGGAATACTGAATCCTGCAAACTATATTTCCCCCATTCCTTTAGGAACGGGCTCCTGATTGGCTTTAGCCAATGGGAACCAATGGTTAGAGTGGGAAGGCGAGAGAAAGAGAGTAGCCAGGATATTTTTCCTTTTCTTGTTATGCTCTGATCAGCATCTCCAGCAAATGCTTGTCTCTCCTCCAGAATTCCAGCTCCACCCAGAAAGCCTCTGTCATCCATGCTGCTGCCACACAGCTCCGGCTTTTGAGTTTTGAGAAAGCCACATCCTTTTGTCTCTCCAGCCCTAGAAGAATCTAGCTGCTACAAACCTATGGGTTGCTTCCTCATACCCTTTAATGTCTTTGTACCTTATGATATGGTTTCCCATATTGAATGTTTGCCATTGAGCTCTTAGGTTTTGATTTTTCTTTCTGGCTGGAACATAACTGATCTAGAACATCTAGAACATTCCAAACAGCAATACACATGTAGGAGTGAAACGTCAGTGTGCTGTTATCTAACCGGCTGGTGCCTCTTCAGTTTGTTTCTTGCTGGCCTGAAAAATATTCTGAAAATTGCATGGACCTATAGGTATTGTTTCACCCAAGCCTTCTGGGTGTGAGTTTTCTAATAATATTGTTGGCATATGTATGAATGATTCTTGATATAAACAACAACAACAAAAATAAACTGGGGGATATATAGTCTGAAGGTTGGAGGTAGCTGAGAAAAAGTTTTCCAGATGATTCTGAACTTTGGTGGGGAGAAGCTTGTTGAAACCAAAAAGAGATGGCAAATCTCAGCAGAGTAATTGGCTTCTCTCTTAGATCACCCCATGGGCTTTATCCAGCTGGGGTATTTTTTCTTCTTTCATAAAACAGGCTATTTTGCTCCCAAGTCACATGGAAGTTTGGTTAAGATGCTTGGATTTCATGTTCCCTTGTTCACCAGACTTGTTATATTTGAAAGAGAATTTGGTCTTGTCCTTGAGGACTTGGCTAAAGAAGATACGAGGCCTGGCTTTTCTGGAACTTCCAGACAAGTTGCACAAAGGCAGTAATGACTCCCAGGTTGAAAGGATAGGAGGCTGCAGGTCTCAGTGTGATTGCGCTGGGTGACCGGGACACACACACACACGGTCTACTGTGCCCAAAGAAACAGTAAGGTGAAATCAATCAAGGCTCCATGGTGAAGACTTGAGTTTCTCAGGTGCTAGCAGGAGTGAGACAGACTCAAACTTGGCCAAGAAAATTAGCAATGGGCGTACCTCATAAAACATTTAAGTTCAGGCTCATCTCAATTAAGCCTCCCAGAGCCTCAGGTGTTTGTCCAAAGCTTACCTGGGCCTGAACTCCTGGAACCAAGCAAGTTTGCTGGGGCCTGCAAGAACATGCTTCCCCATGAGAAACTTGGCAGTAGGAACCCCCTGTCCTCATTCTCATACCCAGTCTAAAAAGAACCATGTGAAAACTATGAAAAGTAGGTTTCAAACATTTCTAAGCTATGAAAAATCTGGATTTAATTTTAACTAGCTATATCCAAGTCTGGTGTAAAAACTCAAAAGTTATCTCTCTTTCCCAGGTGAAGCTGTTACTTCTACAATATGGAATCATAATCTCTCCATTAGACAAACAATCAGTGATGGGCATTGCCTAAAATGTTGTCCTCTCTTTCCTGAACTCTGGGCTGAAAACTGGATTGGTGTAAGCTAGATTTGGGGGTCAGATCCGGTCAAATGAAGTTAGTTTCCTCTTACTTCCTACAGTCATTAAAAGCCTTTATCTAAGATTTTTAGTAACAATGATAATGACAATAATAATTGACATTAATGGAACCCTTACTCTATGCTGGGCATCATGCTAAGCATTTTACAAGTGATTATCTCGTTTTATCCTTACAGCTACACTATGGGTGGGTACTGTGATTATCTACCTACACGGTAGAGACAAGAGATACAGCTTCTGGGAGGCTACATTACTTGTCTGAATTCACTCAGTTATTAAATGGCAGGAATTAAACTTGGGTCTGTGGTTCCAGAGCTCATGCTTCTAAGCACTTTGCTGGGTGAGTCTCTGCTGAGATACTCTTCATGAGAAGGAACACAGCTATCTAAATAAATTATTCTGTTAATAAGATAATGGGCATGAAAATGCTGTGAGAACTGCAAAGTCTCTTAAAGGTTAAGAATTAATTATTACAAGGAAATTCTATAGTGTGGGAGGAACACCAGAAAAAGGAAACTGGAAAGGATATTGATCATGAAATTAAAAGACTCGTATCTCAGAAGCCTATCAGTGTAATGATTATGAATTTGTAAAACTTAAGTATTCAAGGCCTGGAAGGAAGAAATATGGTGAAATAAGGAAAAAGATTAATTTGTGGGGAGGTATGAAAATGAGGATAAATCTTTCTTTCTTTGATTCTGATTTCAGTGAGATCATTTGTACAAATCTTAAAACCAAAGCACAGACTGTACGAATCCATGTTGAACACTGGACTTTCAGGACTACTGTACGGCTAACCACAGCCCTGCAAGGCCAGGCTCAGCATGTCACAGTTTTGCCACTGAACAGGAGTCTTCGGAAAGATTGCAAACACTACATGGAAAATGACTATATTCTTTCTGCAAGGCCACTTTCTTAGACATCACCCTAACAAAAAGAATTATGGGTTGGAAGAGGAGAAAGGATGCAAAGTTTGTGCCTTGACTTAAAAAAGGTCATAAGCACCTCTACTGATTCTTGGAAACATTGGCTGCAGTGGATCTCAAATTCTACTGTGCATAAGAGTGACCTGGTGACCCTCTAAAAGTGTAGATTTTCTGGTTTCACCCCTAGACCATGTGACTCAGATGTCCAGTGAGGCCAGGAACTCCTCATTGTTAACCTGTGCCCTATTTTAACAAGCCCTGCTGGGAGTTGGGATGTTGGTGGTCTGCACATCACACTGAAATAGAGGAATTCCCTACTCAAAGATCCCTTTATGTCCTGATTACAATCTGCAATGAGATTATAGAATCATTAAATCATGATTAAGCCAATGTGGAGACTGATATTTGTTGTATGAAACTATTACTGATTGGGTTTGTTCTTAGAAAACTAGACTTCCAGGGCCGGGTGCGGTGGCTCAAGCCTGTAATCCCAGCACTTTGGGAGGCCGAGACGGGCGGATCACGAGGTCAGGAGATCGAGACCATCCTGGCTAACACGGTGAAACCCCATCTCTACTAAAAAATACAAAAAACTAGCCGGGCGAGGTGGCGGGCGCCTGTGGTCCCAGCTACTCGGGAGGCTGAGGCAGGAGAATGGCGTAAACCCGGGAGGCGGAGCTTGCAGTGAGCTGAGATCCAGCCACTGCACTCCAGCCTGGGCGACAGAGCGAGACTCCGTCTCAAAAAAAAAAAAAAAAGAAAAGAAAACTAGACTTCCAGAACCGTGGCCAGGGTGAATTTGGGGCAGACCCTATACCCAGCCCTATGCAAGAACTTTTATCTATAATCTCATTTCATACTTAAAATAACTTAGGGAGATTAGTGTTACTTTGCAGGTGAGGGAACTAAGGATTAGGACAGCAGTTTAAATACCTTCAATGAGGTCACGTGGCTAAGAAGT